ATTCAGATTTCCCCATACTCCAGCTTGTGTCCACCGTCTCTCTCATCCTTTCACTGTGCACCTCTGAGAAGCATCTGACTCTGTCCTCTCTACATCCTCCCATTAAACAGATACAGATACCACCATGATCTCCCTCGATTCTTCTCTTCTTATATGGCAAAGCAAACCCAGCTTTTAGTTTCCAACTGTTTTCATAATCCTCCTCTCCGGTATGTCCATGTTTCTTCTGCCCTAAGGCACTCAGAACTTGACACAGTAAAGCAGGTGCTTTGATTAGAGAGGAAGCATCCTTGCCCTCAATCTTCTGCTACATTCTCAGATGCTGCTGGCCTTCTTTGCTGCAAGAACTGCTGACTCACGTTCAGTTACTTGTCTGTTGGTACTCCCACCTCCTTTCCTTCACATCTTCTTCCTAGCTAGCTGGACTCTCACCTCTAGCCTTGGGGCACAGGGTTATTCATTTCAGATGCAGGACTTCTGTGAGCTGCTGAGTTACTGTTACACCCTTGCAACTCAGGTACAAAATGAGGTAGAAGTTCTCTTTCAATTAATTGAGAAAGTTTGATACGATGAAGTCTAACAGAAACATAAGACTATTTGGCAGTTGAATGATTCTACATCCCATACATGGAGAGTGACATAAAAATGCAGCTTAAATGAAGACAGGATATTAATTATCACACTAAAGATACACAGGCCGTCTTACACTCGCCTGTCAACATTATTTTACTCAATACTGTAATTTTTTCCCTCTATTTCACTTAGAAATAATAGAACACTTCCAAGCATTTTTACACTGCTGTAGCTTCTACGTGAACTAGTGATGGGCTAGAACCAACTCCTACGGAAAGGGGCACCACCATGCCATTAAACAGCAGTTAAGGTCCCCCATTTCCACTGAACATCACAGCTTGCTCCGGAGCCTGTTGTTTTAGTGTAACTGCGGTGCAGTATGAAAAGCTTTCTAGACATACCGAGAGAATACATTTCCAAACTTTCATTGCTTGTTCTCTTAAGTAGGTCACGTTAATGTTTCATTTATCCACAGGTCTAACTCCCCAGCCCAATCCCAACCCCAACTCTCATCCTACCACTACTATCAGGTCCAGTAAAACCAGGGCTGTGCCTGAAAAGAGCATTTCCATGCAGTGCTCTCCGGTTCCCACGCTCCTGCCACTGTGACACAGGAACACACTGATGCTGAACTGGGCAATGGCCAACCCAGTCTACCTGCCTGGACCTCAGACTTGGGAATCTGCAAGCTGGGAACCACTACTCTGAAGCAGGCTGTGCGATACATACTCCACCAAAAGGTAACACACAGCTTTTCCCAGCCCTTCTGGAAGTTAGAACGGCAGTGAGTTACTGCCTTGTCCTGTACTTCTGATGCACAGTAACATGGGCCCACTGCAGAGCAGTGGAGAGAGGACCTGATGCATTTGGAGCTCATACCACAAAGCCACAATCCACAATCCACAATCCACATGTGCTGGGTGAACCTCGTTGCAAGGACCCAGCTCAGAATCTACTGCTTGGAAGAGCGTGGAAGCAAGACACCCTTTCACCAGCATATGCCAAGAACATTTTCAGGAGATGGCACTTGATGTATTGTGGTACTCTTTAAAAGTCTGTGGAATCATATGCATCACCACCACCTAAACCTACTGATTTTAGGTTCCATTGCTGGGAGGGGGGCAAAGGAAAAAAAAAAACAAAAACAAAAACAAACGAATAAACAAACAAAATCTTGTTTTATCTTGTTTTAAAGCCTAACTTATGTTGACCAACACTTCATACAGCCAAAGCTATAAATATTGTTTTACCCCAAAAGCATAACATACTTAAGCCATCAACATATTTCAGACAAGGTACACTACATATATCACAATAACACTACAAACATCTGAGAAATTACTGATCTGAAGGTTCTCCAACCTAAGGATTTCAAAACTCTGATGTTTTAGACAAAACAGGCAGAATTTTATAGCATCATGTACCTCACTGAAGCCTAAAATAAAAAATCGTAAATTACCCCCTCTATGTTAATTATTTTTTCTATTTGAGGTTTAGCAGATTTATTAAGAACTTCAACCAGTCTAGGTTGCTTTCAAAGAAAGCATTTCTGGTATTTCTGTTTAAACAATGCAAAGATACTATAGCTAGTTATTTTAATTGAAAAAAGTCTCTCTTATTTTAGGAGGTCTTCACACGTTTTGTAACCCAGTGAACACGGTCTCACTGAACATACCTTGTAACCACCTCTAAATTCTCCTTTATATTCAATCCTGCCTATGTCTGCTCCAAAAACATTTCACACCAAAACACTACCGCAGTTTAGCCGTAAGAGCCAAGAGCAATTCAACAATGGAGACAAAAATAAAAAAACAAATGTAGTAAAGGTACACCTTTGGCCGAGGAGACTAAATCTGGAGTAAGGGGCAAAACCCTTCCCTGCAAAAGCTCCGCACAACGAGTTTTGGATTACAATTGTAACGGGATCGCCGTTTCCGCGTGGTTCCCGCCCCAGCGCCAGAGATCCGCGCACTCACCCCCTCGGTCTTCACGTCAAGGATCTTCTCCACCTCGAACACGTCCTCGTCCTCGTCCACGTCCTCCTCCTCTTCGCTCTCCCCGCCGCCGCCGCCGCGAGCCTCGCCGCCGGCACCCGCCGCTTTGCCCACGCCGCTGCCGTCTTCCTCCCCGTCCTCCTCATCCTCGGCCGCCGCGGCCGCCGCCGCCGCCTCCTCCTCCCCGTGCGCGCCCTCCACCCTGGCCGCCGCCTGGGCCCCGCTCGCGCCCGCCGCCGCCGCCGCCATTTTGGGCCGCGTTTCAAGCGACAACGACGCAGAGCGGCCGCGACATGCCCTGCCGCGCGGGGCCTCGGCCGCCACAGCCAATCGCCGCCCCGGGAGCCCGTGACGCAGGGGGGCGGGGCCCCGCGCCCGCAGGCCCTGGCGCCCCCCGCGGGGCGGGAACGGGAGAGCGCGAGGGGCGGTGCTGGACGGGACCCGAGGGATCGTATGGATTTAACGGCTCCCGCTGTGGGAAGGGGAGAGCTTCCGGTGTGATCAGAGCTCCATCCAGCCTGGCCTTGAATACCTCCAGGAGTGGGGCATCCACAGCTTCCCCGGGCAGCCTGTTCCAGCGCCTCACCACATTCACAGCAAAGAATTTCTTCCTAATGTCTAATTTAAGTGTCTCCTCTTTAGTTTTAAACCATTCCTCCTTTGCCCCATCTACCCGTGTAAAAAAGTCACTCTTCTCTTCATTTCCCCTTTAGGTGCTGTGAACTCTCCCTGGAGCCCTCTCTTCTCCAGGCTGAACAGCCCCAGCTCTCTCGGCCTGTCTTCAAAGGGAAGTGTCCCAGCCCTCTGAGCATCTTTGTGACTGCCTCTGGCCTCGCTCCAACGGGTCCATGTCCTCCCTGTGCTGAGGACCCATCACTCCAGGTGGGGTCTCATGAAGGCAGAATTCCCTCCCTCAACCTGCTGGCCACGCCGCTTATGATGCAGCCCCAGGATACGTTTGGCTTTCTGGACTGCAAGTGCACACTGTTGGCTCATGTCCCACCCCTCATCCACAACTCTTTCTTCACAGGGCTGCTCTCAGTTAGTTCATCTCCCAGTCTTGCACTTGGACTTCTTGAGCCAAAGCTATCCTCTGCCCTCGGGTGGATGGTGTTTTGGGGAAATGCACAAGGAAGATGCACACAGACACCTCAGGACAAGGTCCTACAGTGGCATTAGTAGGGTTTCTCACTAGGAGAAAGAACTGTTTTCAATTTCATAGTATTATGTTAAAGTAATTGGCAAGCACAGCTTTTTTTTTATGTAACATGCAGGACAGGAAAAAAAAAAGTCTTGTAACAAAAGCAAATAAACCACACCCTGTTTGCTTATTCCACTGCCTTTGCTAAAGGCAGAGCGTTAACGTATTGTATTTCAGAAACAGGTCTTTAAAGAACACACATCACTCAAACTAAAATTAGCCTTTAGCATGAATGTATACCTTCCACACATAGCTGTACAGGGTATTGTTGCAACAGTGACAGCAGTAGGAAAAAGAAATTCTCCATATTTTTGTCAGCACTTACTTTCTAAGGTAATTCTAGTAATACAGCAGTTGGTCATGCAAAGACTAATCAGCAGATTTAGAAGCTAGTTCATCATTGTCTATATTAAGTCTTTCTAGTTCCTAAGAAGCCCATATCCTAGCTCTTCTCAAATAGAAAGTGTAGTACAAATATTTCCTTTGTATTTTTACTAAAAACAGCCAGTGTCTTACACATTCAGAACAATTCAGAACACCTTGGAAACAGAAGGATGTCAGGATATCCCTCATGGCAACTTCCTCTACAAGACCAAGTGTATCATCTACTCCACCCTTAGCAGGTGTTTGCTTCAATTCTCATGAAAACATCTATGAAAGAGATTTCACAGTTTTCCCTAGTAAACTCTTACAACATTTCTCTATTACTGCTAGGAGCATTCTCCATCTGCAAGGGCAGTATAATGCATTACCTATGGTACTGTGGAATCTCCTGCTTCTGAGTATTTTCAAAGGATGGACAAGCAAGTGTACACTATGTTCTGTACACACTGATCCTGCCTCAGTGCAAGCCACTGCGCTGTCTCCAACTATATTTCCTCAGATCACCAAGTACAAAGCTCTTTTCCTTAATTTAGAAGATGTAACGTGTTCACTAAATGCCTGTGAAAAGCCCATGAAATAAAAATAAATCACCATTAGTCTGGTTTGGTTATTAGGCTTCAGTGTTTGGTCCGGTATAAAATAAAATTAATGAGTCAGTTTTTCATCAGCATAAAATGAGAATACAGAGTAACAGCAGGAAAATAAGAGAGAACTCATTCCTCCTAACAAAACTGACCTATGTATTCACAAATTGACCTATGATCGATAAGAAAAGCAGTGCAGGAGAAAAATTACTGTTCTGCTGTCTGCATTTCAAGGAGTGCTGTAGGAATTACAAAACCATCTGATCAAAAACACATGTTATGAAGATGTTTATTAGTTCTTTGTTAATTACATGGAAGCAACAAAATAAATGTATTTTCGCTGCCTGGTTACATGTTAATTTTTTAATAGCTTGGCCAACTACCTGTGCAGCCTGAGGCTGATTCCTCCCTTATTGCTACTTCATATTACGATATGTATGTGTAGTCATATCCTCTGGCATCAGGACTTTCAGACCAAGTCTAACTGTTAATACATTTCCACAGAGTAACTAAATACCTACCCTATAACTGAACAGCCATCTCTAAAAGTGAAAGCTCCACTTTGGTAATAGATTTCAGAGTGTTGGAGCTGGTTTCATTCCTTTAACTCAATAATTAGAAACAGTTATAACAACACTGCTTCCAAATCAACAAAAAGCAGTCTCAGTTATCTTGATTTTTCAGCTCTCCCAAGGGTTTTCATGAGGAAGAGATGCTTAGAACATCTGAAAACAACAAATTGGACTGGATTGCAAAAACCTGTGTGAACCAAGGAAAGAAAAAAAGTTATGATCAAAAACAATCAAAAAATCCCCAATCAAAAACCCACAATGCTTCAGCCATACTAATGCCTGTTGAGTTGGCAGGAGCTTTGCAGGTATTAAGAAGCCAGACTGTAGGTATACACTCAGATGGAAAAGTGGAAAATCAATTTCCAAGGTAAATGCTAAAGGTTAAAAAAAAAAAAAAAAAAAAAAGGCAGCATTATAAATTCATACACACAGGATACAGAAAATTAAGAAAGAATAATTTTATAATTTTATCTTCCACTACATAATTAAGATAATGAGAGTAATCTCCAGAAGTCCCTAAAGCAGATGGGGAAATGGGCTGCTTTTTATTTTGGTGTTTTTTTGTTTTTTTTTTTTTTAATTTACAGAAATAGCAACATAAACGTATCAAAATATATTTTTAATTTTTATTTTATTTTACCTGAGTCCCTACTTTGGACTCGGTTTTTTTTCTCATTGCCTTCAATAACAGTAAGGTTGGAATTGCTGTTTTAATTTTGCTTTGTGGCATTTTTACTTTCTGAAGATGACGCCTTCCACATATGCAACCAAAACATTATTTACTTGGTATAACATCTGTCTTCTCTAACTTATGAATACATAATAAGAACATTACCATCTCCCCAAGGTGGATTAGCGGTAAGTGCTCTAATATCATAATATTTAAGAGCTTGCCACAATTGTTAGCTATGGGAAGGAGTAAATAAATGTCACTTTCGAGCAGCAGAAGCAATGAGAAGTAACATTATGCCTCCACTGCTAAGTTAGATAATGTTAGATAACTCCCAGTCACTGGCACGTGAATGCTCATAGTGTTAAAGCATTAGCATGTTCCTCATCATACTTCAAACTTCTGCCAATTCATATCCTCCCAGTGTCTGGGTATGATGACCATTCCCATTAGGCAGGCTGGATACAAACACTCAGGCCTGATGACCAAAGGGATTCACTTGTTTAGGTGTGTGCCAAGGCACACCAGCCAGCCACAGCATTCCTAGACATGTAATGTGCCAGTACTGACACAGCCCACTGATTGCTGTGTATATCGTGCAAACAGGCTTGTTGACCTATCCATGCTGCATTTTCAATGTATATTCAAAATAAAAATCCATGTTTAAATTAAAAAAACCCTGCAATATCACCAGACTTCTGACTCTACAAACATCTTTTCCTCACTCCGTAATCAAATGCTTGTGTTAACAATAACATAACCAAAATCCAATTCTGTGATTAATTTTCTTATTCAGAATTTCCCTTCTCCGACAACGAGAGAAGAAAAACAGCATGGCAATTTTAGCCAGGGAAAAAACCTCCCTGGTTCTTTTGTGGAGGGAGAATATAGCTCTTCATTTTTTATATGACATGTCAGTGCTGCAGAGTCACATGCATTAAAAATGTAAATGGAATATGTAGATGTAATCTCTACAGTTCTTATTTCTCTACATGAAGACAAGATTAACACTCTACAACACCTGCACCACTTGGTATTTTCCTACTGAGATCTCAGAAATAAATCTGGTCCTCACCTCATGATTAAGCTACAAAAGGAACGACTGCACTCTTTTTTGTGGATTCTTTCAGCCTGCTCTTCTCTTGAATGTGTAAGAATTTCACTTTAATAATGAACACACAGTTTTCAAGGATTGCCATTGCCCTCGTGTTAAAAGAGAGAAGATACTTTTTTTGGCTACGAAAATTTTCGTTCCCACTATCCACCTGACTAGTCTCTCATATTCTTTGCAAATCTAGGAAGTTCCAAAACAAATCCCACTTTATCAGCATGCTAATCAAATCCACCCAGAACATCTCTTAATCAGTTCTATTAATTTTGTTTAATTACGTGAAAAATTTAGTGTGACCTACATTTTCAGTAAAATCATGGCTTGAACTAAGCGCAAACTCTTGTCTCGATCTCTTGCTGCTAATACCTGCTGTTAGTAATGTGGAATTACCTTAACTTTGACTGGAACAACCTCTCCTTCACACTGAACCATTATAAAATAACTTTCCTTTTCAAGAATGTAAACTGCTTTTCATGTTTCCACTCAGTGACTACAAATACTAAAAAAAAAAAACCTTGTTGCAGCACAACATTTAAAAACAACTTTGGAAAAGTGATCCAGACTAAACTCAGTGCAGCAAACATAACCCACACCCCAAGAACAACAAAACGCCCCACAATGAGAGGCTGGTATTAATCCAGATCTGTTTTCTGATAGAATTTACCCTCTAATCTACAGCCAATATTTACAGAAAGAAGTACTATAGCAGTCGGAAGTGATGGGGAGGCAGGTGGGAGACAAAAGTAGGGGGAGTGCTGCTCTTCTCAGCAGAGTCAATCTAAATTGTCTGTAAAACAACTTGAATGAAAATCATCTTCATGTCATTTGTGAAAAACTGTGCTCAGATATGAGAGGCTGGGAAAGTTTTATTTAAACATGAGTAGAATTTGTGACAAGAAAATGACAGCATCTGGTTTAAGTGATTAAAATATATTATCAATGTATATTTGTTTTCCTGGATGCTTATAAGTGTAAAGTTATTTTAAAAGCTGGTTAGAATGATAATCATTGGGTAAAGGAGAACACTGCACAGAACACTGACTTAATACAGTATATGAGCTCCTCACCATGTCATGGGGCTTTCTTGGGTTTCAGAGCCCAGCAGTGGTGAGTGTTAAATGCAAGCTAGCCGGTCTTATGACTGGGTGGGTTCAGACAGAACAGAGCCAAAAACAATGCTGCCATTAAGCTTATTTGAAGCACAGTACCCAGTTTAGTTTTCTCTGAAAGGCAAACTTCAAAACCACTTTGAGAACTTAACATAAGGCAGCTCTTGATTTGACTTAAAATTGCATCGCTGCTCCAAGCCAAACTGCTAATGCAGATGCACTGCTAGTAACTAGCATGAAGAGAACATATGCTTGTAAATCAAAACATTCAGGTCATAAATTCTTTTTACTAATGAATGTTTGGATCCCAGTACACCACATGCATATCTCATCCAGAGGGTTTGTATCACTGTCACTGGTAAAGACCTTTACTCTATTTATATTTCTGAAAAACCTACTTGATGATGTAAATTTTCCAGAGTGTCTTAAGGCCTAGTAATTTTGTTTGTGAGATAACTGGACAAAGCTGATGCTCTAGAATACTTGGCCTCTCCAAATTCATCCTAGGCCTCTCCAAATTCACAGGATGAGGCTCTGTACAACCCAGAGCTCGGTTTTGTACCTGCCCTCAACAGCTGCGCAACCAGGACACAGACGGCGACACACCCCAGGATTTTGTAGCGTGATGCTCTATCCCTGTCTAGAGTTCAGAGGAAAACACTAATTTCGCTCAGTGAGAGCATGCCTAAAGCACAAAACGTCGGGGAGCCGGGGGGTTGCTTTTTGCCCACTTATCTTTGCGTTCCTGCCGCTATTTCAAGTTTAAAAGGTGTGAGTGGCCGCAGGAACAGCACGGTGGAACCCTCACGCTGGAAGTCTCACCGCGGCAGCCTCACCCCCAGCAGCAGAGCGGCGCTGGCCCAAGGTACTCTCCGCTCCGCTCCGCCCCGCAGAGGGCCGTCATCGGGGAGGGTCCGGGAGCCACTCGGACCTGTGGAGCGCCTTCGCGAGCCAGGAGCACTCCCAGCTCCGGAGCGAATCCCGCGGCCGCTTCCCGCCCCGATAGCCCCGGGCAGAAGCCGGACAGAGCTTTCGCTGCTGATGCCTTTTAACGGCCTCTTCGCCGCGGGGTCTCTCGGGAGCTGTAGTCCCAATCTCCTGCCTTCTCGGCCCGGCCACCCGGCAGATCTGCAGCGCTCGAACTACAGCTCCCACCGCGCCGCGCGCCGGGGCGGTGCCCGCCTGTGGCGCCGGGAGGCTGTGCGATGGCGGCAGGTTTGTAATCGAAGGAGAGGGCTGGCGGCCCGGACGGCGCGGCCGCGGCACCGCCGTGAGGAGCGGGGCTGGGACTGGGGCTGGGGCTGCCGCCCCGCTACCTGCGAGGGGCTGCGGGTCGGAGCTGTCGCGGTGCGGGTGCTTCGGGGCCGGGGGAGCAGCGGGCACTGCTGGAGCACTTAGGGCGTCCCGTGTGAGGGCGGTATCCGTGTCCGTGAGGAGAGGAGGGTGCCGAGCCCGACCCCTCCGCTCGGCTGAGGAACGTGGCTGTGCTCGCCTCTCCACCGTCGACCTCTGCGGGAATTCCTTTGTCCCTCCTGCCCTTCCCGGTGCGGCTCGGCCCGATCCCTGCCGGTTCCTCCGGTTGGCACCTCCGGAAGGTGCTGCTGCCGTGGACTTCCAGGGATGGTTTAGATTGGCAGGCGGCCTCCAGAGGGTGTCCGAAGGGTGGCGGGTAAAACAGACCGTGGACCTTGAGGGCTTGAATTTGCCTCTGCAGGAATCTGCACCTCACTGAGAAACTTCCCATAGCGTCTCAAAACAGAAGGCAGTCGGAAAACATCTCAGTAAGGGAATTGCGCTGTTTCTCCCAGTCGTGCTTTCAAACTCTGCTTGGAAGCATAACCCTTTTTACAGTGGGAAAATTAAGTGAGAGCTGACATGAACTGATCCCTTGGGAAGGAGGAAGCTTTATAAAGTTCTTGATCAACAGGACTGTTGAGCCAGGGCTGCTGTGGTTGACTGTCTTTTGTCCCCTGTCCCCTTCTTTTCTCTGTGTTCCCCCTGGCACACCATATGCACAGGCAAAGAGTTATTTCCCTTGGGACTAGTTTGAGATAGCAGGGCTGAGTGGCCCGGCTCCTGCTGCCACACCGTCATCATCAGCAGTTCTGTTTCTTTTTCTTCTTAAGTGAGGAAATCACTTTGAGTCTCCTGAGTACCTGAATTCATTCATGATTTATGGCACTTTTAGGATGTGTTGCAGTCTTCAAACTTTCTTTTGGATGGATTTTAAAAAAAACAAACAGGAAGGTTTTTGGGATAAAGAAACTAACAGACAGCATGATTGAGAGTTTCCATGAAAAAATACCCAAAAATGATAGAGCTGAATTGAAATATGTGTAGTAAAAGTTTGTATTTAGATGGACATATTTGAAACTTTGTATTAATATGAAGGTCCTGTGGGTGAAATCTTTCAGCTCATCACCTGTCTTCTTTTGCAAGTGTTTAAAAGAAATTCTGAATCCCTCTCTTTTCTACTGAAGAGAATATTATACACAGCGTTGTAATATTTGAAATGATATTAACTGCACTCAAATAAATAAGACGATTAAGATTTGGATTGTGTTGATTTTCTGCGCAGAAAGTCTTTGTTACTTCTTGTCCATATTCTTTCTATTGATTGTGACGTATTTTTATAAATACACCAGATTGGTTATAAGAGGGTAACTTACTGGGAATCTGTTGTTGTAGATTTCTTATTTTGTTTATCTGCTTCATTTTCAGATGCTAAAAGTAGATAACCGTCCATACCAAGTACCTGGAACTTTGAAAGTTATTCTGTCCTAACCCTGCGTAACGTCATATTGTTATGTTAATGCTGATCAGCAAAGAAAGTGGAGTACCATTTACAAGATGCCAACTGTTGAAAGTCCGAGTGGTGAACAAAACTTCATTGCACATTGGACGTTCAATAGTTCCCGTGCTGGAGTCTTATTAGATCCTGGTTTTACTGGTTTGAACTACAAGAAAGAAAATTTGTTACCTGGACCTGGAAATATCACAGCTTTACCTGCCGAAGTGTTGCATCTTTCAGACAGCTGTTCCGTAAGCGATGACTCCCTGTGTGAAGAGTCTGGCAGCTCTCATGCACTTCAGCAATACACCACTGGAACATCTTTTCCAGCAGCAGCACGTCATGTGGAAAGCTCTAAACCAGACTTTGTCTGTGGTGAAGTGGATGGTCAGAAAAAATCCAGTTACAGCGACCCACTCCTACAAAGGCTTGAGCAGGTAAAAGTCCTAGAATTCCTTGACGTGCATCCATTAAAATGTAGTTTTTTCCTGCAGATGATTTGTCATATCTGGAAGTAAGCAAACTTCTTGCAATGTATAGACCACATCAAGCTTAAAGAGCGAGTCCTAAGTTACTGTTACATGGACATAGAAGTTGGTGTCCTCCTGGTGATGTGCAGTTACTGAGAATCTAACAGCAATTGTTTCCAGGTAGCACAGGTTCCAGTTTAAAGCTAAATGGTTCTCAAAATCATTTTACTTGGAAAGGTGCACACAGTTTTACTGTGTCCCACTGTTTCTTCACTTGAAGCTGTGGAAATGGGGTCATTACCGTGGCAGTATTTCACCACAGGTATTCACAACGTGGTGAAATTGTATGTTCTTGTATCTATAGCAACATCTTTTGTTAGTTCTCGAAGTAGGTGTGAGCACTGATATACCTGGTTCTGTTTAAATGAAGAGAGATGTTAGTGTTGAATGTGCTACAGTATCCAAGACATCAGGACAAAAAGATCTGGAATTATGATGCTGTGATGTTACTTACCTTTTTTATCTAAGGCAAGAATGTCAGTTAATCCACTGTAAGTGTCTGTAAGTTGGCTCATAGCTCTTCCCAATTACTAGATGCAAATGCTATTAGCTGAAAGTGTTCAGCAGCAGTTTAATAGATCTTACTGTTAAGGATTAAGAACTCTCTCACTTCCTTGTCCACTCTGCCAGCAGCTGCATCAGCACTAATCTCTGTGTCTGTTCACTCGACTGGAGAGAGAGAGCAAGGGTGTGTGTCTCTAGAGTAGAATTCCACAACTTTCCTGGTGCTATAGAAGTTTTGTCCTGTATTTTACATGATAGGAAAATATTTATTCACTTTCTATATATTGTCACCAGTATCAGTCAGTGGCTAAAGGACAAATGTTAGCTGGTTAATTGGTATCTTAAGTGCAATTATTAAATCTCCTCTCTTAGAAAGTCACTGACAATCTATAACAAAAAAAATAATCTGATACTAGTCACAGCATTAGATCTTTTCAGTTTGGTTTTCTGAGGATATAATTATCAGAACAGGTAGAAGTATGATTAATTTATTAAGTGAAGGGGTTGGAGATGAGACTCAGGTGATCTTTGGATGTTGATCACTAGCTCACAACTTCTACTTGCATAGTGCCTTCTGTTTATACTGGGACTACAAGGGAAATTCAAGGGAATTTTTTCTTACCTGTTGAATGACAGTTGTGGTCCAGTTGTTGATCTGTGGAAGGAATTCATCAGGCCTTTCCTTTGGAGGAGCTGGAACTAGCACATATGTATGTGTGGGAGATACAAAGATGACACAGAGGCCCACCATCCATTGCTGTGGTTTGGTAGGGTACAGAATGCCCTGCCTTCATATGACCCTCGAAGTTGGTATTGAGGCAGGGCCAAGGACTCTTGCTGCACAAGAAAATGGAAACTGGATTACTGAATTTAGTCAACATTTTAATTCTTTTTTTTCAAGTAGCTTCATGAGTCTTAATGTTGCTCAGTGCTCTTTCCCCTCTCTTGTTCCTTTGCATCAGTATTGTTCACTGTAGCTGAGACCTTGGAGAGAGAAAAAAAATCCACTTTTTCTAAAGCTTTAATTATTATGAAGTATTTAATACTTTAATAAAAACATAGCATAGTAGAAGTTAACATTGAAAGAGCAGGATTGAAATGTTTTTCCCATGCAGTAGAAATGAATGTTCTGATTTCTATTTTTTGCAGATTGGTCAGTTAAAGACTAGTGGCACTGTTAATTGGGTAAACTGGAAATAGCATGTGTATTCTCAGATAGAAAAATTCTTAATTTTCTCTATGTTACACTGGCCTAATGGAGCATCTTTAAAACAATAAATATCTACTGTGTTGATGCTGCTAATCCTGTGGCACATTCTAAATAAACTTAGCCTCTAATACATTTATTTTTTTGTTTGAAAAGCTGAAGGAATTGCAACGACAGAAACAGGAACAGCTCAAGAAACAACAGATGGAACAACTTCAATGGCTAATGGAAGAGCAGCAGAAGCTACTTAGCATGGTATCTGGCCAGACAGCAGCTCTGGGTAAGTTGAGAAAAAAAAGCACATGATGTACTTCGAATACACTGAAAAATTTAATCTAATTTTCCAGTTAAAATCTCTAAGTGTATTCTGTGTTCTTCATCTTAAACTACTTGATTAGTCAAAGATAAGTGCTGTGTTACTTCAGTGCCTGAAAATTGAGTGCTGCCGTGGAAGGAATACCGTCCTGTTTTTATAAAATGCCAACTGCAATTGTAACTTGATCAGTATGCACTATGATGGGAGTCCTTGTTTTGAAGTACTCATATTAATTATAAAGTGTCAAACAAGTTACTTTCCTTTCTGATTAGCCATTTCTCACAGTACTTTTGATTGCTTTAAACTTGCAGCGTAGCCAAATGAAGTGGTCCCCCAGTGTTTGTGTTCACACACATTGT